GTCGATCCTAAATCCGCAAGCATCGTGTCGATCCGACAGTATTTGTTAAAGCGAATCATACCCATATTAAGTAAATTTAGTGCTCTAACGTATATTGGTAAGCTTGTGTGAATAATCGATCGCCGGAGTGCTAATTTTGCCTTTTCAAAACAGCGTCAGCCGTATCGGCAGAGTCGTCCAAGCGACCGGCATTGTTTTTGCCAGCAATTGCCCACCACGTGAGGTGGCAGTCATTTGTGGCATTCATCGTTGGCATTGTCTGTGGCTTCTCAGCGGGATCAACGCCACGTGTCATCGGAGCATTCGCACGCACAGCGTGGGGCTGCGCTTCCCATTTCGGCGGCCATACACGTGCCGATTGCGGTGATCCTCGATTTGGATTTTCTTTACCGCCTCGCTAACGTGTCACCGTTCCCTCACACGGCGCGCATATTGGATCGCCGTTCCCTCACACGGTGCACATATTGGATCACCGTGCTTTTCTTCGGCGCACCTATTGGATCGCCGTGTGTCTTTTTGTGGCCACATCGTTCTTTGCCACATCGCCGTGCATCTTTGCCACATCGCGTGCGCTCTGCCGCATCCACACCTTGGCGGGCTGGTCTCGTTCCGCTCACGCCTCACGCAAGGGATTGCGGCCATCCCTGTCGCACATAGTGCGTGTCATCTTCATCAGCGCGAACGACGGAAGTAGCATTACATATCCGTATTGAGAGCTGGTGGCTGATCCGGCCCACACTCTGCTCCAGGAGCGGATAAACATGAATGATAGTGTCTAAAATATAATTAATTTTGCATATAGGAGCTTTTGATTTAAGAATTCGTACTTATAAACCTTTTCGGTCGTAATTTAGCAATTTTTTTTGGGAGATTTGGCAATTATAATATCGTTTTGTCCCTCAAATAACTTAAAACACATACAGCTACACATCACCAGTCATCAGGCCTGCTGACGTCGATGGAGAAAGCGTGAGTACGGCCTAGCCGCAAAACAACAAAATAAAACTGAACCCATCCTTATAATTTCGCCAAGACTTCTGAAATAGTTTGCACATCTTAATTAATTAATTGATCCAAAAGAATATTAATAAGTTAATCTATTTAATGTAAAGTAAAAAAAGAAAAAGCGTTCTTTCTTATCTTAAATTTTATTTCCTTTCATTTGATCTAAAAACAAACTGACTCAATAAGAGGTCTCGTAACGTAAATAACGTAAACTTAGGCTTAAGGATTAGATTTAGGAAAATGTCTTTCAATATTATCTCAGCCTGCAATTATATGACTTTGAAAATGAACTAATTTGATATCTTGTTGGGCACCTAAGGGGATGTAGAGCATTGGTTGTATAAGGGTGGAGCCTGAATGGACTTCACAGGTTGGGAGGGTTTAGATTGAGGCCAATAACATCGGAGCCTCATCTTCAATAGGTACACTTCCTTCGTCTGATTCATATTATTTACCATATCCCCAGCTAGAGTATCTCTGTCTACAATATTAGTTATGTAGCACCCTTGTTCATGTCAACACAAAACCCACGCCCATTTTCCCTGAGCCTGCCGAGCAGAAAAAGTAGACAGAGCGTGTTGAGGTGGACAACGCTCGGTGAGTGTGTTTGTTACATGCCATAGGAACGATCGGGAAATTAATAGGAAAAAAAATTATAGCTTCGTTGTTTTTCAACGTATTTTTATCTTTTCTGAGATATAGGCTTTTTTTATTGTTCTAGAATTTTGGTATAAATTTCATAAAAATCGGACAACTATATCTTATAGCTGCCATAGAAGCGATCGGTAAATGTATAGAATATGTAAAGCTGGGAATGTGAAACTGTAACTGTCAAACTGTAAACATAATAAGTATAGGTAAAATGTTATGAAACTCTGTTTTGTGTGTGTTTTCAGCATTATAATTTATAATATAAATATCAAAATGAATCTGCAAGGGTATACAAACTTCGGTGTGCCGAAGTTAGCTTCCTTTCTTGTTTTTTATAATACCATTAATGTACATATATACAGTAGCCACTACAAATTCTAAGGATATAATAGATATACATATTATAGGCCTTTATATATTGCAGTCTTTATATTTTTATTTTACACCAAAAGTTGCGCACTTCTTTTAACAAAACGCCGACAAAAAGTAGAGATCGCAGTCTCTCCGTATATATCATTAGAAACTATCGATAGCCTACATTATTTACAATCGATATAATATATTGCTTCCACTTATTCTACATGGTGTTCCTAATATTTTTTCCACTTATACTACATGGTGTTCCTAATATGTTCCTACAGCTCGGCCGTCCTGACTTTTAGGATCTCCTGATCCTTGCCGACGTAGCTCTTGTTATTCTTTTATATACAATCTTTGTTTCTTTATCCTCTTATCATTTTTACAATTGTCTTTACATATATAATTATTCAGATTGCTTCGTAAATTAGGTTTAATTCTATAAATACTTTTTGTTCTTGTTTCTTTCTCTATTTCTTCATTGTCCCCATAATCTTTACATTTTTCACAATTTTAATTTACATTTAATTCATTATTCGTTACATCTAATTCATTATCTTCTATATTTAATTCATCTTCTTCTATATTTAATTCATCTTCTTTATTATTATTTTTTCTTTCTGTATCAATCCAAGGCTTCAAATTATGTACTGCCCAAATCCCCACATATGGTTTTTGTGTTTTCTGTTTTTTCTCTTATCAAATATCTATCATTCCCTATAGTCCCCTACTTGATACTTGTGTGGTTCTCTACGTTTGGCATCAACATATTTTTTATTATATTCTTGTGCTTTTATTTGTGCTAATCCCGCCTTTTCTCTAATTTCATCTAAATTGACCTTTTCTTTAATTTGTTCTCTCTCAATTATGTTTTCCTTCACGTTATAAATTACTTTCCCCTTTTGTCGTATCCCAAATAACATTTTACTCGTATATTCATTTATGCTTTTGTGAAATACATTATTAATAGCAAATTCTACATCAGACAGTACCTTGTACCATTGTTCATTCTCTTCCGTATTTATTAGTTTGCTTATCATCGGTCCCAGTTCTCTATTTGTTATTTCTACCTGGCCATCTGCGGTTTTCCGAAACAAAACTCTCAAACTCTTGTGATGTGAAACATGTTCCTCTGTCTGAAATAAGAATCTTTGGTCGACTTTACGCTCTGAAGTAATCGTATAATGCATCTATTGCCTCTTTTGATTTCGTAGTTTTTGTTGGATACAATCTTACAAATTTGGTAAAACCATCTATTACTACCAGAATGTGTTTTTTTGCAGCATTTTTGCTTTCAATCGGACCATAGTGATATATGTATAGAATGCAGAAAACCCTCCTGTCTCGTATTCTTAGCCGTAAATGCAATACATTTAAGACAGTTTTTAATGTGTTCCTCTATCTTACTTCTCATATTTGGAAACCAATAACTTTTACTTATTATATTTGCCACTTTTTCCGTTCCCCAATGTCCCATTTCGTTATGATATTTAAAAAGAATGTGAGTTTCCATTGATTCTGGAACATAAAACAATAAGTTATCATTGTTTTTTCTATAAACTACTCCGTTCCTCATTTCATAAAAACTATGCTCTCTCTCCTTCAACATCTCTTGTAGTCGAATTATTTGTTTGTCTTTACTTTGACAAAAATTGGATGAAACTTTCCGTCGCCTTTTCTTTGTAATAATATCGCCCCAAATCCAATTGCACTCGCATCGCAATGCAGCTCTGTTTCATCTTCTGGATTATATATTGCCAAAATTGGTGTTTCCATTTCATTTAGTCAAAATTCGAATTTTTTGTCCTTTTTCGTCAAATCGTGGAGCGGTTTTGCAATAAATGAGAAGTCTTTAATAAACCTCCGGAAATAGGAACACATTCCTTAAAAACTCTGAACTTCTTTGACCTTAGTAGGAATTGGAAAATCATTTATTGGCCGAATTCCTTCCTCATTTGCCTTTCTGAAATAACATATCCGAGATATGTTACTTCATTTTCTAAAAAACTGCACTTATCCATTCTCAATTCAAGATTGTTTTCTACCAAAAGTTTAAAGACCTCTCCCAAAATTTCTATATGTTCTTCGTATTCTCGTGTAGCAATCATTATGTCGTCCAAATATACTACAACTTTTCCTTCTCTTATCATTTTCTCAAACACTTTGTTTATAAATAGTTGAAATATAAATGGTGCATTTGTTAATCCAAATGGCATTCTTAAGTATTCAAAATGTCCTAGTGGAGTTTTGAAAGCATTAACTTAATTAAATCAGGATGCATGTATACATGGTTATAGCTATTTTTCAGATCTAATTTCGTAAATATTCTTTTGTTAACCAGGCCATCTAGCAAGTCATCTATCAACGGTATACGATATTTTACTTTTTAGTCAGTTTACTAAGGCGTCTATAGTCTACACACTCTCAGACCACCAGTTTTCTTCTTAACCAATACTGTTGGAGATGAATATTTGGATTCACTAACTCGTATAATACCATTTTCTAAACCCTCATCAATAATTTTTTGAACATTGGACTTCTCAGCGTAGGACAATCTTCTAGGAGCACTACTAAATGCCTTGTTATCTTCAACCTCTAGTTGCACTTCAGTTTTTATTTTCGGTTCAACCGGCCTTACGCATTTTATATAACCACTCTCAATAAGATTAATTAACTTTATTCTTTGCTTGTAATTAACGGATTTTCCAATACTATATTCATGTTTCTCATCTGGAATATCATACTCAATTGCTAATATTTGATTTTCAAAACTGTTTTCTTCTGTTTTTTTCTATACTTCGTTTTTGATTCTTTCCCGAACATTTTCCCTCACTTATAATACTGACTTTTTTATTCGTGTCATTATTTTCATTCAGTTCCATAATATTAATTTCTTCGACAGCTTCTTCGGTTCTCTTTCCGATAGTCAGTTTCATATTGCATTGTTTTAAGAAATCTCTACCCAAAATAATCGAAAAACCCATAGATTCATTATCCACCACCATTAACTCGCACAATACGTCTTTATTTGAAAACGAAATTAAACATTTTACACTTCCAAAAATCTTCGGTTATTCATTTTCCTTAAATGTATTTGAGGTGGAACGTATGCTTGTTTTATCAAACTTATGGGGCTTCCTGAATCTAAGAGTGTTTCTATAAAAATGGGTTTACAATGAGTATCCGATAAAAATATTACTTTCATATAACTTACATATTCATTTTGTACAACTATTTTCTTATACTGCTCACAATCCTTAGCTTGATGTCCAGGTTTTCCACAAGCGAAGCAAGTACCCATCTCTCGTTTCGGCTTTCGACATTCGCTTGATATGTGCCCCAAACTGTTACAGTTGTAACACTTAACATTTCGCCTTTGAGTTTTTCCAGTACCCTTCCGTTCCTGTGCGTTTCGTTGTATGAATGCTTCTAACATTTCGGTCTTCGTCGAGAAATTTTGTAGTTTCGCAATGTTCCGAAGATTTACATCCGGAATTCCCGCTATCATGTACTCGATCAGCTCATCTTCATCCAGGTCAATTTCATTTCCCAGAGATACCATTTCTTGGAAATATTCGTCGAAGCGTTTCCCTCATTTCCAGGTGCATAATTGAAGTTGATAATAAGTTTAGACCCTTTCTTTTCAAAATGTTTAGCCATTTCATCTAGCAGAAAATCTACAGTTTCTGCCATTAGTGTAGGATTTGCAGTCATCCATTCCAATGCTTTGCTTTTAACTTTGTTAAAAATTACTGCTCGCATCACATCGTCATCTACGTTGTAAGTTTTCCGAACATTGTTGATCATTGTACGCCAGTTGAAGAATTTATTGTCACATTCAAAAACGTATACCAGCTCTTTTAGCATTTCCAGAGATATTTTATTTCTAGCACCCTCTGCATAACTTATTTGATTTTTAATACTAGTCAGTTCTTCCTCCAGTTTATGTATTTTTTCATCTTTCTTAAAAATTTCAAAGCGTTGTAGAATAACATCTAAGTCGCATTGCTCTTTCATATTTCCTGGCTCGTTAAAATCTCCATTGTTTTTGCCGACCGCTTCCCTTACGTTGTTGTTCGGCCTTACGTTATCATCTTGCTTTATATTGTCGTTTAGCATTACGTTTTTATTTCCCTTTACGTTGTCGTTTCCATTTCCATCTTGCTTCGCGTTGTATATCTTCCTTACGTTTTCATTTTTCTTTACGTCGTCGATTTTCTTTACGTTGATTTTTTCCATTACGTCGTAGCTTTTCTTTACGTTGTCCTTTCCTTCTTCTTTGTCGTTGTACTGGTCGTCGCCATCTTCATTTTGCATCTTCTCTCGTCTCTCGCTATTCTGTTGCCCACTCTCGTTGTTTCTCTCTTCTCCTTCGCCGCATTTCTCTACGTTGTCTTTGATTTCTGTCGAAATGGCGGCGTCGTTTTCCGTCCCATCCGAAAGGTTTCTCGAATGTTCCATTTCGTCGAATTTACTAGATTCCCAATTCCTTTTTAATTTTAGCACGCTCTGCCCAATTTGTGGTTTCGCTATTCGTTGCAACCTCCAAATCAAAATGTTTTTGGTGCCGGTAGCATCCAAACTATTCCCGACGCACAAAAATTGCAATTTTTTTTAAGCAAATTTTTTAAGTTTGTCGATGGCATGTATGTACATCCACACACATGTATGTGTGTACTTCCAGATTTGTTAATTTGATGATGATGACACAGTTCACTTAAGGCGTGTTCATGACCACTTCTGAATATTATAGGCCTTTATATATTGCAGTCTTTATATTTTTATTTTACACCAAAAGTTGCGCACTTCTTTTAACAAAACGCCGACAAAAAGTAGAGATCGCAGTCTCTCCGTATATATCATTAGAAACTATCGATAGCCTACATTATTTACAATCGATATAATATATTGCTTCCACTTATTCTACATGGTGTTCCTAATATTTTTTCCACTTATACTACATGGTGTTCCTAATATGTTCCTACAATATCTTAAGTATACTTTATTCTTACTTATATATATTAAACTTTCTTTGTATATAAAAGTTACATTTATTTTACTTTAATTACTACTTTACTTTTATTTTTACCTCAGATTATATAAACAGTTTCTTCCCAAAGTTTTTGTCCTCTTGCTTTTCCCACGAAAATCCAATCCATCTCCGAGGGAATCCAACAGAAGGAAACTCCAACAAAATAATATACTTTCTTCACAAAACCAATCTTATACACAACATTTAATTTATAACTTCAACATGTAGCATAAACACTTCTTTTGTTAATACACAATCGAGCGGTAAGCCACAGCAGCCAATGCTCGTTAATCTTTTTAAGTTTTAGTTTTAACTAATTGTTTAGCATTATATAAATAAATAAATGTTTTTGTTTGTACCCTATTTTATACGTTTTAATATTAAGAAACTCTAGAACTTTGCGTTCATAACTGACCATATTTAAGTAGACTTTCAGAATATTCAAGAAGTCTACATTCTAAGATTATTTATAATTAATTTAATTGTATTAAAACTACTATTGCTCAGAAATACAAGAACTGTGTTAGTATTTATTATAATTGTAAAATATAATAGAAGACGAAGTATGGTTCCCTTGTGACCAATTTGATCGAATGGGAAAGCGATCGATCTCAGTGGTGTATAACACATTTATATAAATAAAATTTAAACCTTAATTCTGAAATTGTAGAAAATGAATACACTCTGAGAAGTAACAAAATATTGTATGTTTATTAAATTATTTCTATATATAAGAAATTACCGATCTATCCCGTCTCGGCTTACGAAAGAAAAAAGTCTAAGTACTTGCAAACTTTCATTCAATTATAAAACTGAGAAATTAGTCTTGCGGATAAAAGAACTTAGCAAAATCAATTCGGCTGTTGATGCGGATCAAGAATAAATATTTTTCATTGGGAGAAAAATACCTCCTTCACTGGCGTCCCGAAGTAAGCTTCCTTTGATACTGTTTCAATAAAAGCGATGCGTTCTAATCCCCGGATGCTGATTGTTTTGAACTGCAAAGACTAGAGAAATATCGAGTGAATTCGACCGTTTAAAATAAAATAAAATTTAAAAAAACATTTGAAATTTTATTTTAACTGGTCACTTAACAGAACTCCTTTTTAATTGGTTGCGGCCAATTATGATAAACGGTTATTGCCAAAAACAAATATTTAAGTGTCAATAACTTAAAATCCGCGTTTAGTGAAGGTTGGCGGCTCCATCAAACTCAAATTTAAGAACTTCAATGAAACGTTGTATTATTTTCGTGTTCTGCGTTTTTATACCATCCGTGGTAAATATCACCAGATTTTAAAACTTTTGAACAAACGTCACTTCTGAGCCTTCCTAGATGGATAAAATCATAATACTCGAAAACAAATGTGGGGATTACAACCGGAGTTATTTATCCAACGTTTCACTATGGATAAAAAATTATCGGTTAAATTTGGAGATATACTTGATAAGTGACCTTTTCGCTGGCGTTACGATGGACTTGGAGTTCCTTATCAGCATGCCGAACTCAGTAAAGTATCAGAAGATCTTCCAGTACTCGCTAGATATGTGCAGCCTGCTGGCCCAGAGGAGGAACAACATATTCAAGAGATGGGTTTCGACCTTTTTTAATTCTGGTAACTTTAAAAAGTACTGCCCGGTGGAGCCTGGCTTATACTACCTGAGGAACTACAACTACAACACTCTATTTATTCCAAAGTTCTTGTACGCGGGCAAGTACCGAGTGAACTTCGACATGTTTCAGTTAAGGAACAGCGACCGAGACTTCGTTATGGAATGTACCTTTGAAGTTGAAATAAAGTAACCGATTTGTGACCTGTATTCTATTCATATGATGCTGATCGTGTTGACCAGCAAAGAAAGAATACAATTTTCTTGCTTTGAGACAAATCGAGTGAATCCGACCGTTTAAAATAAAATAATATAAATTATACATATGTATTATTATTTTAAATGCTCATATAACAAGCTCCCCTTTAATTGGTGCGGTCAATTATGTTAAGCGGTTATTGCCGAAAACAAATATTTAAGTGCCAATAGCTTCCAATTCTCTTTTAGTAAAGGTTAACTGCTCCATCAAACTCTAATTTCGAAAATTCAATGAAACGCTATAATATTATCGTGCTGGCTTTCAGCTTTTTGATCACTCCAGTGGTAAATATCAACAGATATTTAATCTCTTTATACATCAACTTTCACTCCTGAGCTTTCGTAGATGGATAAAATCATAATGCTGGAAAGCAAATGTGGGGACTATAACCGGAGTTATTTATCCAATGTTTCCCTATGGATAAAAAATTCTCGGTTAAATTTGGAGGTATGCTTAATAAGAGGTCTTTTCGCTGGCGTTACAATGGACATGGAGTTCCTCATCACCATGCAAGACTCAGTAAAGTATCAGAAGATCTTCCAGTACTCGCTGGATATGTGCACTATGATGGCACAGAGGAGGAACAACATGTTCAAGAGATGGTTTTCGACCTTCTTTAGTTCCGGCAACTTTAAGAAGTACTGCCCGGTGGAGCCTGGTTTCTACTATTTGAGGGACTACGACTACAACACTCTATTTATTCCAAAGTTCTTGTACGCGGGCAAGTACCGAGTGAAGTTCGACATGTTTCAGTTAAGGAATACCGACCGAGACTTCGTTATGGGATGTGCCTTTGAAATTGAAATAAAGTAACTGATGTGTGACCTGCATTGTAAGCTTCAATTAAAACTAGTTTAGTCAGAGTGCGAAAAGCGGCTGGGTGAATCGAGTTTAAAAACAACATTCTACTCTCGACATTAGCTTGGAAATGTCAAAAGCATTAACAATAGTTTTCGCACTCTGTTTCCACCAATTGGTGGCCACTCGAGCAGTAAGTGATTTTCATATAATTTCTCTAACGCTCAGAGGCCTCTTAACCTTGTGTCCTTGCGACATAGTCCTCGTTTATTTTTCAGACTGGACGATACCGTTTCGGTATCACACATTTTAAAAACTTCACCCTGGAAATTATCAACAACACTCTCTATATGGATATGATAACCGCCAAGACGATTCACCGCGGCCTAAAGGTCCTCATAGACGTCCAACTCAGCCTCGATAAGGGCAAGAGCTACCAGCGACTTTTCGCCCACATTCTGGATTGCTGTGCCGTAGTCTCATCGGTGAAAACCAACCTCTTCAAGAGTTCGTTTGAAAGCATGCTCAAGCGCGGAAACTTCATGTACAACTGTCCAGTGCCCGCGGGGGTCTACTTCCTGCACGACTGGAAGCTCGACTCCCATTTGGTTCCGCACTATATGCTGCCCGGTGACTACTGCGTGACCGCCCACTTCTTCTACGGCAAGCACAAGTCGAAGCAGGAGGATGTCGTGCTCGACCTTGATGTCTATGCTCTGTTACGAGCAAAATAGGTGCCGATCATCTGTACTCTGACTACAACTGATTCACAATCATGAATAAACCGTGAATTTTTACTCAAAATAAATATTCTAAAAATATCCGCTTTCCAACTGCGCCATTTCGGGGTAATTTAAAACCGATTAGCGGATTGGATTCGCGTGCAAGCGGTCACGAAGATCACCGCTGACGGTGGAAAGCAGTTGCATTTAGACCACGAATCAGAAGTCTAATGATGAGGGAAGCTCTTGTCCTTATTGCAGTACTTGTGCCGCTGGCAGAGGTAAGGAATTCTGTGGAAGCAAGCTGATCAATGATCTAATATACTCTGGCGCCGTCAGCTCAGCTCGATAAGCTTGACTCGCGTCGAGTGTGAAAAGAATTCCAGATACTTTAAAACTCTGAATGTGTCGGCCGTAAACAGTACAATCGCAGCTGATATTGAGTTGATTCAGACCCTTAAAGCCGGATTCCGGGGCCACATCGATGTGCAGCTACGCCTGAGTAATGCCAAGAAGTTTCAGAGCCTGGTCCAGACCGACACCGACTACTGCGAGCTGCTCTCGACCCTGAAGGACTCACTCTTCCGGCGCTGGGTGAAGAGCGTGACCAAGAACAGCAACTTTATGGAAAACTGTCCGATTTCCGCTGGCCACTACTATCTCAGAGCCTGGCACGTGGACATGGGTCTGGTTCCCTCATATTTGCTAAGTGGAGACTACCGTCTTAGAGCTCTGGTTTACTACGGGAAGTATCGCTCCAAGAAGCAGCTGTTCCTAGTCCAGTGCATCGTGGAGGCAACAATGCACAACAAATAGGTACGAACTTAACTGATTTGTTCGTCAGTAATTATCGAGTTCGAGTGGCTTCAAGCCTGACCGATCGCTCAATCAATCGCGCAACTTGAACGGTATAACAAACCCATTAAATGGCTTTAAATGGCACAATTCGTTGTTAGTGGTTGCGTTCGGGCTTACAACACCCTGCGATGCTTTGCGCAAGACTTGTACCCACGGTTGTGCGCTGGTTGGTTGTAACTGCCCTCATCGGTGAAAGCGTGGTAAGTGGTATCGATAATCGTTAAAGGGATGTGTTAAGAAACCAACTGCCAATTAGGCCCCCAAAATGACATTTAGGACCGGTGCTTGCAGATACGACAAATCAATTTTCTCCAACTTCACCATTCAAATTATAAAAACCAAACTAATGATGGACATGATTCTGGTGTCCACCCTGCGGCAGGGCCTGAAGGCCCACCTAAGCTTCGAGTTCCGTCTGTCCAAGGGTAAGCCGTACCAGAGCGTCTACCAGCACGATATGAACTACTGTGCGCTTATCAAAGGGGCTCAGGAGTCGATCTATCGGCGCTGGTTTACCTCAATGCTGAAGGTGGGAAACTTCGCCACGAGCTGCCCGATCTCAAAGGGTTACTATTACCTTCATGGGTGGACCCTAGATGCGAGTATTGTGCCATCTTTTCTCTACATTGATGACTACCGGATTGGAGGAACGTTCTTTTATGGCAGGTTCAAGAAGCAGATGGAAAATCCTCTGCTGGAGTGTTCGGTGGAAGCCGTGTTGGACTGAGGTCAGGATTATGGTGATAAGCTATCATGGGCAGTTAAACTGTACAGTCGCTGTATACAATCGGATGGTCAGGGTCCAATGCATTGAGTAATTAATATATTTCGTACAAAAACATTTATCGAACCAGTTTTCTAGTTTTTGTGGACAGCGATGGCACGGACATTGCAGCTTATAAGGTGTGATATACAGCTATGTCTGGCTATGTTTATAGTATTTGTCAAGGCGGTGAGTGAACAGAGACAAGTTCCTTTGAGTACTCAACTGTCTTAGCTGGTCTCCTTAGGAACGCAGTATAAAGTTCATCGCCGGAGAAAGCAGGTTTAAGCGCGAATACTTTAAGAACTTCACCTTCACGATCCGAGACGATCAGATCTTCCTGGACATGTACCTCCGAAAGCCGCTGGTTAAGGGCTGGAGGGCCAGGCTAGACTTCCGACTGCACGTGGGAAACTCTAAGACCTTCCAGAGTCTGTTCTCTACCAATATAGACGTCTGGTTCCCTCATATCTGCTAAGTGGAGACTACCGTCTTAGAGCTCTGGCTTACTACCGGAAGTATCGCTCTAAGAAGCAGCTGTTCCTAGTCCATTGCATCGTGGAGGCCACAATGCACAACAAATAGGTACGAACTTAACTGATTTTTTCGTCAGTAATTATCGAGATCGAGTGGCTTCAAGCCTGACCGCTCAATCAATCGCGCAACTTGAACGGTATAACAAACCCATTAAATGGCTTTAATTGCGTTGTTCACAATTCGTTGTTAGTGGTTGCGTTCGGGCTTACAACACCCCGCGATGCTTTCCGCAAGACTTGTACCCACGGTTGTGCGCTGGTTGGTTATAACTGCCCTCATCGGTGAAAGCGTGCTAAGTGGTATCGATAATTGTTAAAGGGATGTGTTAAGAAACCAACTGCCAATTAGGCCCCCAAAATGACATTTAGGACCGGTGCCTGCAGATACGACAAATCAATTTTCTCCAACCTTACCATTCAAATTATAAAAACCAAACTAATGATGGACATGATTCTGGTGTCCACCCTGCGGCAGGGCCTGAAGGCCCAGTTCTGTCTGTCGAAGGGTAAGCCGTACCAGAGCGTCTACCAGCACGACATGAACTACTGTGCGCTTATCAAAGGGGCTCAGGAGTCGATCTATCGGCGCTGGTTTACCTCAATGCTGAAGGTGGGAAACTTCGCCACGAGCTGCCCGATCTTAAAGGGTTACTATTACCTTCATGGGTGGACCCTAGATGCGACTATTGTGCCATCGTTTCTCTACCTTGGTGACTACCGGATTGGATTAACGTTCCTTTATGGCAGGTTCAAGAAGCAGATGGAAAATCCTCTGCTGGAGTGTTCGGTGGAAGCCGTTTTGGACTGAGGTCAGGATTATGGTGATAAGCGATCATGAGCAGTTAAACTGTACAGTCGCTGTATACAATCGGATGGTCAGGGTCCAATGCATAGAGTAATTAATATATTTCGTACAAAAACATTTATAGAAACAGTTTTCTAGTTTTTGTGGACAGCGATGGCACGGACATTGCAGCTTATAAGGTGGGATATACAGCTATGTCTGGCTATGTTTGTGGTATTTGTCAAGGCGGTGAGTGAACAGAGACAAGTTCCTTTGAGTGCTCAACTGACTTAGCTGGTCTCCTTAGGATCGCAGCATAAAGTTCATCGCCGGAGAAAGCAGGTTTAACCGCGAATACTTTGAGAACTTCACCTTCACGATCCGAGACGATCACGATGCACGTGGGAAAATCTAAGAGCCTGTTCTCTACCAATATAGACGTCTGGTTCCCTCATATCTGCTAAGTGGAGACTACCGTCTTAGAGCTCTCGTTTACTACGGGAAGTATCGCTCCAAAAAGCAGCTGTTCCTAGTCCAGTGCATCGTGGAGGCCACAATGCACAACAAATAGGTACGAACTTAACTGATTTATTCGTCAGTAATTATCGAGTTCGAGTGGCTTCAAGCCTGACCGATCGCTCAATCAATCGCGCAACTTCAACGGTATAACAAACCCATCAAATGGCTTTAATTGCGTTGTTCACAATTCGTTGTTAGTGGTTGCGTTCGGGCTTACAACACCCCGCGATGCTTTCCGCAAGACTTGTACACACGGTTGTTCGCTGGTTGGTTGTAACTGCCCTCATCGGTGAAAGCGTGGTAAGTGGTATCAATAATCGTTAAAGGGATGTGTTAAGAAACCAACTGCCAATTAGGCCCCCAAAATGACATTTAGGACCGGTGCCTGCAGATACGACAAATCAATTTTCTCCAACTTTACCATTCAAATTATAAAAACCAAACTAATGATGGACATGATTCTGGTGTCCACCCTGCGGCAGGGCCTGAAGGCCCACCTAAGCTTCGAGTTCCGTCTGTCCAAGGGTAAGCCGTACCAGAGCGTCTACCAGCACGACATGAACTACTGTGCGCTTATCAAGGGGGCTCAGGAGTCGATCTATCGGCGCTGGTTTACCTCAATGCTGAAGGTGGGAAACTTCGCAACGAGCTGCCCGATCTCGAAGGGTTACTATTACCTTCATGGGTGGACCCTAGATGCGAGTATTGTGCCGTCTTTTCTCTACCTTGGTGACTACCGGATTGGAGGAACGTTCTTTTATGGCAGGTTCAAGAAGCAGATGGAAAATCCTCTGCTGGAGTGTTCGGTGGAAGCCGTGTTGGACTGAGGTCAGGATTATGGTGATAAGCGATCATGGGCAGTTAAACTGTACAGTCGCTGTATACAATCGGATGGTCAGGGTCCAATGCATTGAGTAATTAATATATTTCGTACAAAAACATTTATAGAACCAGTTTTCTAGTTTTTGTGGACAGCGATGGCACGGACATTGCAGCTAATGAGGTGGGATATACAGCTATGTCTGGCTATGTTTGTGGTATTTGTCAAGGCGGTGAGTGAACAGAGACAAGTTCCTTTGAGTGCTCAACTGTCTTAGCTGGTCTCCTTAGGATCGCAGCATAAAGTTCATCGCCGGAGAAAGCAGGTTTAACCGCGAATACTTTGAGAACTTCACCTTCACGATCCGAGACGATCAGATCTTCCTGGACATGTACCTGCGAAAGCCGCTGGTTAAGGGCTGGAGGGCCAGGCTAGACTTCCGACTGCGCGTGGGAAACTCTAAGAGCTTCCAGAGCCTGTTCTCTACCAATATAGACGTCTGCAACATTGTGAACGCTGCCAAGATGAACCTGTTCAAGAAGTGGTACAAGAACCTGCTCAAGTACGGAAACTTCCTGCGCCAGTGTCCGCTCAACGCCAGTCATTACTATCTGAGGGGCTGGCAGTTCGGAGAGGGCTTGGTGCCGCCATTCATAACAAGTGGATCGTATCGATTGGAAACCTACAACTTTTTCGGAAAGTACAAGGGCAAAGATGAGGACTTCATTATGAGCTGCACGGCCGACGCCATTATACATATCTGATGGCACACTCGGTGGCTAATGGCTTAATAATAAACAATTCTTGTTAGTAATCGTAGCTTGTGGGCGAAATTTGTGACCGTAATTTGTAATTGATTTCAAAAGCTCTCATTTGAGTTTGGTCACGGGCATTGAAATGTGGAAACTGATCTTTTGGTCCGTGACTGTTCATGCAGCCTTTCAATTCAGTCCAATTGTGGCGGTGAGTAACTGTTTGACCCTAGTGGGATATTTTCAATCTGATCCTATTTCAGGAGCGCAGTGTTCAGTTCCTAACCGGCAACTGCACCTTTAACCCAAAATACTTCACGAACTTCACCCTGACCATTGTCGACAACATGATGAACATGGATATGCACCTGAACAGGCCCATTCAAAGGGGCTTCAAGGCCAACCTCGACATTCAGCTGCGTCTGGCCAACGCCAAGAACTTCCAGTCCGTGTTCAACCAGAAGAACGACGTGTGCGCCATGATTGCCAGTATGAAGAACAGCCTGTTCAATATCTGGTTCAAAGATATGACTAAGAACAGCAACTTCATGTACAACTGTCCGGTGGAGGTGGGCCACTACTACATGCACAGCTGGCGCATGAGAAGCTCCTTGACCCACAAGTTTCTCATACCTGGCGAATATCGCGGCCTGATAAACTTCTTTTATGGAAAATATAAAACCAAATCCTACGAGGAGGCCCTGAGTCTGTCGATTGATTCGATCCTTTCGAACTAGGTGCAACGAGCATAGGCAAATAAAAGAAAAAACTCCTCAAAAGAGGGATAAAACTAAAAACTCTACTCTGGTGCAACACTGTCTAACATTATGTTGACATTTTCCGCAGTCAAGCAGCTGGCAGATATCGGCTGCGACTCCTTGCAAGAAATAATCATATCCTGAACAAGGCAGCAACATATTGCAAGGCATGGCGTTTGCGTTGATTATCAGTTTAGCAGGACGACACTGCTTCTGGCAGGGGGAATTTCAATTTAACACTCATGTCCTCGTCGCGTATACGCAGTGTCTTACGGCAGAGCAGCTGTCGCATGCAGCAAATGAAACTTGCAGGAAAAGAATACATTAGACGATACATCGTCTGCCAACATGTGACTCTGAGAGCGTTTAACTTTATCGCTTCCTAATTGTCGCTTGATGTCAGCTGGCCTCACTCTTTCTTCCCGGGTGGCCTGGCTCTAACGTGCCTTACTACCAGGCCTCCCCAACGATTTGCCGCCGGCCTCGGGCTCGCCAATTTGTTTCGATTCCCGCTGGTATAATTATAGGATGTGTAGATGATTCGCCCCGCTCCACGGCAGCCCACATACAGCTAGCTGCCGGTTCTGACAACGCCTACGGACATGTCTGATGACTAATGAGAGTGTGACGGAGAATGAGTAAAAGTCAGGTGAGCTCTGCTTAATTAGCTCAAATGTCTATCCACCCACGTAATTGGGGCTCTTTGAAACAATACCGAAGAATGCCTGGCAGTTGATTTAATTTATTGAAAACCCATCTGGACTAAGGCAAAGCTCCTAAGTCCCACTGGATGTGTTTTGAGTGGCGACATGAATCCCTTCTGCAAATCAATTTCACGCCAAACAAACATTAAACGTTATTTAACACAACTCACGGCAACTGCGACAAGTATAATGATGGCAATTTCCTTGAGTACACGACGCCACTTCTTCAGTCATCCGCACTTGCCCTTCGCCTCGCCGTGTTCCCTGCATCGCTTCCAGAGATGCTCCACTGACTGCCCTCGACTCCCACTGCCATGGTCCGGCATTTGTTCTCCCGACAAAATACAAGAAATTGCTTTCTACCCCATCACTCCAGCAGCGGATGTGCAATTGATGGCAGAGGCGAAGAAAAACCCGGGAATCCTCAGGAGCGCGTGCGAACGTGTCGAGAGGAGTTGGACCAAGGACGCAGAAAAGCAAACTTCTTATAGAAAAATAGTTTGTCCGCCAACTATTATTGACAGTGTTTAAATTATTTGCGCTTAGATTGTGCACTCGCATAAATCGCAGCCTGCACTTCGGCCAGCCACGTCTGTGTCTCCATTCTAAGGCGGATCCGTGTCCTTGTTGAGGAGCTCATTAATTTATTTATGGGAAATGCACGTGCAACGGTTTACTCGGCTGGAAGTGAGAAGCTATGTTAGCCGGGCAGTTTTGAGCTCTTCAATGATTCATTGCATTTTAATGTAACCAGTTGCGCGGGCTCCTATTCCGGTTCATAGCCACCGGACCCTTCAATTACTTCATTTTGATTTCAACGTAGAAGACGGTGTTCGTCAGGTTGTCGTTGTGCCAGTCCCTCACGTAAATGTTGGAGTCTATCCGGAAGCTTCCGGAGCGGATGAACCGCGGAATGGTCTCCTTTTCCGATCGAATGTTGTTCATATAGTAGTGGCCCTGTGAAATGGGTTTAGAATCATTCACAATCACTACCACTTGAATATTTAGGTACCTCTTTAAAAGGGCAGCTCCGGGGCAAGTTGGATTGTCTTAGGATATTGTCCAGCCAGTAATTGATCAGGCTGTTGCCCTTGCCCCTGCCCATGACATGGCACAGGTTCACGTTGTAGGTGAAGATGTCCCTGTATGAGTCCTTGGATACACGCTGGGCAATGGTGGTCTTGAGCCACAAGTCCGCGGTGATGTCTCTCGCAAAGTGTAAGGTGAAGTTGATCGTGTAGTGGTCCTCACTGATTCCCACTTCATAGAGCGATATGTACTTGCTGTTATAGTCGGTGGTGATCTTCCGAAAGAGCAGATAGTTTAGGGACTGCAAGAGAGTTAAGATAAGAATAGAATTGTTAATTTGTATGGTGGAACTTACCTTGTGGCTCTCAAAAAGTCTCGGAGCAGAGCAGATCATGAGCCCGAAAAGAAGAGTTCTCTGGATCAACATCATTGTTTGTAGTAAGCCGTTTCGTTCGTCGTCAGACTGAGCTCGTTGGACTCGATTATGGTCAAGTTTCTCGCCCTAATGGATGTTCCATTAAAATCTCATCAGTTTTCCATTTGCAATCTATAGTAAAGAGATCCATTGGGGCCGTATTAACTTTGGGACCCATTTTTGGGCTGTAAAAGTGTGCAGATCCACTTATGTGGCTCTCAGGCAAAGACTCCCAGCGTAATTAAATTGCATCCTCAGTCCCTGCTTAAAGCTCTCTTTCATGTCCTTCTTCGCCCATACAATTTGTTAGAAGCAGACGCTAAAAATATGATAAATTACCGCTTTACGGGCAGCTGAAGATGCCTGCCCGGCAAGGTAACATAAATTAAAAAAGAGCCGCTATTTGCTGCTAACCAAATCTTAATTATAAATCAAAAGGAAGCACTTGCAACCGAAAAAAGGAGAATGAAATTACCGCAAGCGCAGTGCGCCGAAGGAAGCGCAACGGCTGGACGGGGCTCAGAGTGAAATGATGATTTAATAGAATGGTCTGCGGGCACCGCCAGCTGGCTGCCCTGCCGTCCGGATGTCCCGCTACCCGGCTGAGCCGAATGAATGGAAGCTGCTGGGCAGCGGGGGAAGCAGGCGGAAATGACTCCATAAGCTGCTGTAACCATAAACCGGAAGTTAACAGACTTTCGCTGATGTGGCACTTTTCATAGGGCTGCTGCTGCAGGACTCCGCCAGGACCAGGCGATGCGGAGGAAGGAGGACACCCGAACCCAGCCTGGACCCAGCCGACACGCTCGGCGGGCAGTCTGCGAAATTGTGACAGCGCATGGCCGCAGGATAATCAAATAATTTTTTCTCCACACTCTCCCATCCTTAGCCGAGGGACTTCAGCATTTTTTCCTACTTTCCTCTTTGCCAACTCCTGCCGGTCCGTTAAATTATTGTTGCAACATTGCCACAAAATGCTAATTGCCCCACACGATAAGATCGAGGCAAGCTAGTTTTGCGTCTGGCTTTCGCAGCGACCAACGAACTTTTTCAAATTGCAACTGTCATTGATTTGCCTCATTTTGACAGTTTCCATTTTCTCCTGCCGTTTTTTGCGGCTCTTGCGCGCTGCTTATCGCCATTTGTCAAACGCTGGGAAATTGCATTGGCTTGCCCATTAATAAATCACCCGCAAAATGTTCGACAAAAGTTTTCCCACCGGACGAAAGGTGCGCGTGCTCTTCCTGCAGCGTATGGCAGGCCGTGTGAATTATGATGTTCCCGCAGCAACTGATTACTGATAACCGATCCACTAGCAGACCACACTATTTTCTTCAAGAATAATAGCAAAATATTACGACAATTTATAATCGAATTGTTAAGAAATTTAAAATGCACCAGAAAAGCTTAAGCACAACTTTAACCGCTTCCCAGCTCGCGAAGAGTTAATGAGGAGCCAGCCACGTGCAGGACCCAAAAAAAATTGTTTCCAAAGTACCTTCTCCACGCCATTCCCACTTCGAAACATTCTTCTACAGGGGGAAAGGCCCTGAACGGATTGGCGTGCAGAGACGCCTGCTGTTCGGAATAATGACGATGATTCCGTTGATTTGAATTGTGATTAAAATGCAGCGTATAATTTCAGCACAGCACCCGTGCCACTCTCCAGCAGCCCGTTCCAAATTCCTGTTGCCTGGGTGTCTGAGGCGCTGTCTCCGGGCTGGCAGCATGTGCGCTGGGCGGGAGTCCTGGGACAAGTTTGTGCCTCGCTTCTCACTTTGTCTGACTGTGCAGAAATTCTACGGAGAAGAATTCGGCTACTTGGTGGGGGAAGTTGAAGAAAAATTGCAAAAACCGCAACTCGTGTCGACTTGATGTTAGAATAATGAAGAGGCAAAACTTTTGCGCAAGGCATGTAATTTTTCGCAGTGACAGCCGGCCGTGCCTCCACGAACGGCTCGGGCTGCTCGGAACCCCCTATGCCCCCCGGAACCGGAAGTTGTCATTCGTTTTGTGCATTTGTTAAAAAGTTACAGCTGAAAACAAAAACAGCAAAAAGATGCAAAACAAAACCACAACAGAGTGAAGCGAAAACTGCATGGAAACTTCTGTCGCAGGATCTCATTTGCAGCAGTTTTCTTTTCTTAATTTTTTCCCTGTTAGGCCTAACACTTGGACCGCCTCTGTCCTCCGGCCGGGCCGCAGCCTCCCACATAAATCAGGGCGGCCCGAGCCCCAGACAGACGCAGGATCAGAGCCAGAGTCCGAGAGGTCGCGTAATAAATGCGAACAATGACACAATTGATTGGCCAATTACGTGCGCTTCGGGGTGATTATGACGTTACGTACCGTTAGTCGACGGACATTGCCCGGTGGGTGGTCCTGGCTTCGGGAGGCGGCAGTGGCAGAGGGAGTGTGTGTCTGTCATGCCTGGCTAAATTTACACAATTAAATGCGTGAAATTGGTTTGAATAATTGAGCAATTTTTCGACAACTGTGTGGAAACGTAAGGCATTGGGGCACAGGGGAGCTTTAAGCGAGACCAGCTTTAAGGGCACGAATAAAGAAGTCATTTCTTTTGTTAACTCTTCCAATCGAATTTCGCAGCATGGCCATTAAATATGTAAGTAAAAACTCAACTAGCCGTCGAGATAAACTTGTCTTAAATTCCAGCACTGGGCGGCAACGATATCGTACTGTAAAAAAATTGGCGAGTCCGGCAACTTTATGGTCAGTGGCAAAAAGGCGAGAGAAAGCCGCAGCTAATTTATTTGCAACCCGGGCCATTTATGCGACGCAGCCAGGCCAAGGGCTTCGCCAGGGAACGGCAGAAGCAGCAGCAGGAGCAGGCACTTCATTGCGCAGTGGCTCGTTTAAAGCGGTGATTCAGTTTCATCATTAACCAGATTAATATGGCATGTCGTTGCCAATGACAGCCCTCCCGTCCGAAGACCCGAACGCCGTAACCCCTTGCCGGCAATGGTAATCGATGCGGATGCGGCGGGCCACGTTCTAGTCATTGCCCTTCCAAACGACGGCCATGTGGTCGCGGTCGCCCGTTGCAGGCACTTGCAGTTTATCGCCTGGAAGCTCTAGCGCTGCGCCACGCGGCGTATGCGCAATATTCGAGGACATGAAATTTTATGCGCCTCCTGTGTGCAGATCGAACGGGAGCTCAGAGGGGCTCTCGACTAATTTGTCGGACACATTGCGCTGCCTAATTGCGCCAGGAAACAGGACTGAGCACCGTTAGTCAGTTCGATTTAGGAATGGATCGATTTTCCGGTATTACCCTTCCGTATCCTTCGCTGCTCTTTGCCAGATTATGAATGAACGCCAAGAAGCAAAATCCGCTGCCCCAGCCCGCGCTCCAGTCAAGTTCTTTTTGATTGCACTTGCAAGATATTTCCTTCAGCTTCCTTTCCGACTGCGACCCAAGCCAACAGTTTATTTAGTATCTCTGCCAGCAGCCGCGTGGAATTGTGATAATATTTGCCAGGAAAAGTATTTACATTTGACTCAAAGTTGGTAGCTGAAGTAGTTTGTGTTTCTGCAACGAGCCGGGGCAGCGAGGAGTAAGCCCTTCTGCCTGCCACGCAATCACAGTTTTCGACATTTTACGAAATTGTATCGGCGTCGAAGTTTTCTTTGCCGCTTATTTGTTTGTTGTTGCCTCTGCTGCACACTCGTTTTTTCTTCATTCGTGAAAAAAAGCTTTGCGCGAAATAAGAAAAGTTTTCTTTTATTTAAACAAATTTTCGGCACAGACATGCGTGGCAACGCTTTAAAAGTTTTGGAGCCAGTTCTATATTGGACTCAACGAAAGCGGTCAAATGAGTTGATTTTCCCCTGCAAAACAAGCAGCCGCCCTCCACCGCCCTTTCAAGGGGTCTAATCTGACTGGGACGCTACGCCAACTCGTTAGTCTGGAAAAATATTATCTAATAAGCAGGCCGGCTGGGGCTGCAGGGATCTCATCGACAGACAGAGGCAGGGCGACCAATTAAATTTCACCCGCATCAATAATCGTGAAAGCAACAATTGCCAAAGGCTCGACATGCCCGAGAAAAAACAGACTCCACCCAGCCATTTAGCGGGCATATCCAACTGAAATGCCATATAAAACGGCAGCGCGAAATTAAACGCCAGAGGAGCAGCAGGAAGATGCCGCCGTCCTCGGCAGACTCGAAGTCGACAAGCGTGTAAATGATATAAATTCAATTTAATAAAATTGTTAAAATCGCAACGACGAACGGAACGAGCTGTGGAAATGCTTTGCGCGCAGGTGAGCTGAAAATTGCTCTGAAATGTTTAGTGCCCAGGCGGAAGAAGTCGCTTCCAGGACTGCCTTCAACCTGGCGGAAGGTGATGGCGGAAATACGCGTGAAAATTCCTAGCAATTATTTCACACAAAGTACAGAAGTGAGAGTCTCAGTCTCAGGCGGGCTGCTTGCTTCAAGGCAGACCTATCGTCCCTTCGTCTAGCTCGGAGACTCCTTCGTCGTCACTGAGCATTGTGTTGTCAGTTCGGGGGGACTGGGGCGGTTGGGCGGAAGCAACAGGAGCAGCTCGAGCCAGACGGAAGCCCTCGACCAATACAGCTTTGATAGCACTTTAAGCGGCTTGTGTGGGTTTTATTCTCTCGCCTTAATGTCACGATAATCGCATAATTTCGAGTCCCCCTGGACACTTTCTGGGACAGACAGAGGTTGGGCCGTCCTGGACCGAAAGGATTTCCTTCCTTCGGCCTATTAAGACGACTGAGGGGCATTGCCGCCACTTCCGCCTTATAGCATATTATTTTTCGTCGAATTGTCTTATTAAATTGTTTTTGAAATTGCGCACGTGACTTTTTCTATTTATTTCCTGTGGGTCACAAAATGAAATGCAATAACTGAAGTCTCATGATTACTACAAGGCAGGCTATTACCAATTAATTTCCAGAATATATTTTCAATTTTCCGGTTTCCACCCTTTTGGTTGAAAGAATTTTGAATTTTCTACAATGTCATTGT